AAACATTTAGATCAAGTTAGATCAAGTATTTTAAGGTGAGTCACTTATAAGCCAAAAGTATCGAACAGTAGTTGTTCGTATTATCAAAAAAACTTTTTTGTAATATACTTTTCAAGCTATAATGATCTTACTAAAATTTTTGAATTAAGTGTTTAAGGCTGTTGATTACAAGCATCACGTTAGTCATTTTTAAATTCAATAGATATAATACTTAGCCGGTAGGTTATCAACAAATTGAATTTCTGAATATTTTAAATTTGTTATCATTTATTTATATTTTCCAATGCAGTTTGTAATTTTGATACTAATGTATCGTTATTTGGTACTTCTTCAGGTTCTTCCATATCTTCTATGTCTTGTGTTTCCTCAACTTTATCATCTTCAGTAAGTTCATCTTCACCTTTTTCAAGCGTCTCCAAGAATGATTCTACATTTTTATATATCCCGCGCTTATAATATTCTTCACAATGTCGGCAACCATATTTTATTCTACCATAGCAATTCCAATGAAAACCATGGCCGCAAATCAACACTGTACCGCCCCCATTTTCATTCAATGCTTCATAACAATCATCGCAAAGTTCTGGTACAGGTGGAACTCCAGTACTATAGCCTGTTGGTAAGCATGTTAAACCAACTTCTTTATTCAAAATGGCAAGCTTATATTTTACTTTTTTTTTTGCTTTTTTCTCTTGCCTTGATTATTTTGATTGCTTATTATGCTAGCAATCGCACCAATATTCTGGAATACTTGACGAAAATAATCCAGCAAGAACAATGAAGTTTTATTTGTCAAGTATTCGAGGGCGGAAGGTGTATACGGATATCTTTTTTTGGCACTAAACGTTTCCTTAAATAAGGAATGCCGATTTTTATCTTTTTTTTTTTTTGTTAGTTTTATATTTGTACTAATTAGCTTTATTTTAAAAAAATAATATTATTTTATACTCACCTAGAAGACAAGTTTGTTGAATAACAGTACAAATACTATCGTGAGATGATGTATTTGCCCGTATTTGGCTGTGTAAATTTTCAACGAAATAATCGTTGAAATTTACAAGAAACATTTTAACAACATCCAGCATTGGATGTTTTATGTCTTGCCAATAAAAGATATCCGACAAGAATGCCAAAGGTGCCTTATTGTAGTTTTTACGGTTCTAACGTAATGCAAATATCCAAATTCTAAAAATGGTTTCGACATATTCGTCGAAAGAATCGGAACGAAAAAGAACTGCATATACATCCAAAGTTGCCGGAATTATGTTGTCGAGAAGGTCGATTAACATTCTATATTCTACGTCTTTACACGTAGAGTTAAATTTTTCTAATACTCTTACTTTTATTTTTAACCATCCCTGGTAGGAAAGTTCAAGTAAGAGATTTATTCTCCATGGTTTAGGCTTTTGTGCAAGAATCTTGTCTCTTTCAAAAACTGTGCGAAATAATTTGTTAAAAAAGGGATAGTAAGTTATTAGAACTTGTTCCCGACTATTTAGTGATACGTGCAAAGGGCTAGCGTAGGTACAAAGGCATTAACATCTGCAGATATCTGTGATTTTTTATTTTGTAAATATAAGTATGTTAATGCTTTTCATATGAAAAGTTGTCCAGGCCAGTCGGCAACGATTGGAATTACACAATTGGTGCGTCCAATATCCCGATTTATAGAAAGAATCATTTCTAGTGCATTTAGATAGTCATCTAAAGAATGAAGGTTGCTCTCTTTAATTCCAACTAATCTTACTCCTTCTGTACTTCATTCTTTTTGCAGATTTTTAATAGCATCGTCGTAGCAATGAACAGAAAGAAGGTCGATTTTATCAAAATTAAGTAACTCTGTTTTTTGTGAAGCAACCCACTGATTCTTCCTTTGTGAATACGAAAGATCAAAGATTCCGTGATAATTCGTGATTAAATTTAGACAAATTAACGGCGCATCTACATTTTTAGGGTTATGAACCGAACCACCATTATAATTAATTGGAATGGGAGCGCACTTAGAAATTTCCTTGCTGATACAAGTTGCAAAATGGATTGGTGCCGAGAGCGATACAGTATTGAGACGTCTTATTTTATGTATGTTATGATAGTCATCAATATTGTATACGAAAAAGCTGTTACTCTATTAAAAAAATTAACTAATTCTAATTAATAATTTATGAAGTCGTTATTTGAAACACAAACCCGTTCGAACCAGTGTTTGTTTTTGGACTAATTGGACTACGACTAAGGTTAAATGGATATAAGAGAATATTATTACCTTTTCAGTAAAATATTCCTGAATATTTCTTGGATGCTCACTTGTGATCTTTTTTCTATAGTTTTCTACAGTCTTATAACAGACCGTAATACCAGCATTATGCATGGTATTAATTGCATCACATGATACACCAGACGCTGCAAGATACAAACCAACCTCTAGAGGATAATTGTTAACAAATTTATTATGAATTGCTGCCATTGAATAGCACATATTAACTACTTTTTTTTTATTCTCTTTCTTATTATAAGCAGATCGTCTATTCGGAATCAATGCTTCGTATAGTTTATTAAAGAATCCTCTTAATAATGGTTCAGAATTCTCGAGCATTAATTGAAAATTATCCGGGTTCAACTCAAGTACTTGATTTTCTTTTCTTTGTTTTTCGTAGAGGACTTTAGTCATTAAAGCAATTTTATCGCCAAAAGCCACCGATTTGCTTATAATTACGTTATTATTATTATTAGGTGTTAACTTATTAGCATTATTATGATCAACATCTTTTCCTCTACTTTCTAGCTCTTTTTTTAGTTTTTCAATTAAACTAACTAATTCGTCGTCACTTAATTTTTTTATTTCATCATCAGTTAATAGGGTTTCTGTTAAACTATCTAATTTATCAATTTCCATAGAAGATTCAAGCTCAATTATACCCGCTTCATTATTGGCCGAAGACTTATATGTGTCATTGCGATCAATTATGCTAAGATAATGAAAATAACATAATTGCTTTTCAACTTCTAAATAATTATATTGATCAAAAGTGCCTTTTTCTTTTGCTTTTTTTAGTACATTGTTCATAATTCCACGATACTGATCAGGATTTATTTGACAATTACGGACTGAGCAAGGGCCGAGATTTTTTCTGATCATTATAACGTATACAATAAATTTTAAACTTTACTTTCAATTTAAAAAATGTGATTTTTTTTTAAAAAATTAAACT